TTTTTTTAATGATTTGTCAGTTCAGTATGGCTGCCTTTTAAAATTACAATATTATTTCCAAAAATGATATGTGCTAGAACTTTGAACTGACATTATTCAAGGGAAGTATCTATGATTTCTGGAAAACAAAGAATAAATATCATGCAGCGCAGTTAAAATAAATTGCAAAATTCCCATATTCCTTTGACAGCCAACTTTTAAATTAGTAAATATCCAAGAGTTATATACACAATAACCTGATGGCCGAGAGTGGCTATAGAAAGCTTTGAAATACTCGGTACCATGAACAATCAGTTAAGACACAATTGATTATATACACAAGTAAAATAAGGAATATTATATAATTGACTAAGATGAATAGATTTTACGTACAAGTCTTGTACAAGCACCATCAGCGATCAGAAAAAATGGCAGTTGATATAACCATGGTAACTAATGAGCTAAATAACATTGGATTAATGTTCGATGTAGAAACTAAAATTTCATTGTCATCTGTATATTATGATTGTTCATATATATATATATATATATATATATATGTGAATAAAGTCTTTAAAATTTTACACTGAGGTTATCACTACACCAGAATATAATACTGGTGAGCAAGCAGTTGTACAGGTAGCAGATACAGAATCAAATACTGGCACTCCATGCCATGCATTGGATGGCTAGAATGGACGCAAACAACATTGCCATATAAGGTTCTTCACTTTTTGGAACTGGCAGTGAATTCGCTGTAACTAATATACAACTTTTTAAAAAAAAAATAAAAACTGACTGATAATAAATAGTTACAGGTACATTTATAGTTTTTTAAATCGACTGATTATTGAATGTGTGGAAGGCGCGGGTACTGGGGAACCATACATCATACATCAAACGAAGGAATCGTTTTCTACATCACTATCCGGCGTTTCTTTTAAGCTATAATAATGGACAAATGTATAGTCTTTCAAAACAATCTGGGCCTATAAAAAAAACAGAAAAAAAAAATGAAATTTATATGTATCGTGCACACTATGGAATTTGCATAAAATGAACATGACACTGATGTAGTCTCTGTAATTAACACTGCAACAGTAAGAATGTGTGCATGTGTGACCCATGAGGTACTTATTGATGTACATGCAATGATGGAATATAACCTATTGAGGAATGTGAAAAGGACAGAAAATGCCATTTGACTGGTGATCAGATATTTGGAGGCTGTTCTGTAAAACCAAATCTTGCGCATAATCAAGGTCACGTGACAATTCATGTGTCAATCAAAGCATGCCTGGGATCCAATTGAGGAATTGTGTCAAGTTTAATCTTGTTGCCTTTTACTAAATAGCCAGTGTCTTAGATTGGCCTGTGATAAGCATGTACCGGTATATTTATATCAGTTCAAAAACGCAGTATGCATCTAAAAATCTAAAATGTTTGAACACAAACCAGGCATGACAACAATACTACTCCAGGGCAGTATTTTAACCAACTAAATTACCATTCCTTAACCATCTTAATCTTAAAATCTGTAAAATGCAACGGCAAGCATCAAGTTCCAACGACATGCTATATATTTACATGGTTGGAATAAAGTCCATCAATTCATGCCTGACATTATCTTTATATTTTCTCACCTTTCCATTTTTTTGTATATTTTTCATTTCTTTACAGAGGAGGTCGAATGAAGGTCTGCTTTCAGGTCTCCTATGCCAACACCGCAGCATGGTGTCATAGAATTCCTGTAACACATGTTTCGGTTTCTCCATTCTGTAATGTTCTTTCAGCTTCTCGGGTAACCGCCTTATACTCACTCCTGGATAAGGAATGGAACCTAGAAAAATACAGAATAAGATTTTTGATAATACAGAAAAGCCACGATATATAAAAAAAAAAAAAAAAAGCCATCAGAGATGACATCCCCCTCTGCAAATATTGTTTCATAAGGAGCGAGTAGAGGTTACTGTTTTGAAAAAAAAAACTGTGGTGTATCAGCAACAATAACTGGATATACAGTAGTATATATCTCAACTGGGGTGTAGGTAAAGGGTGAGTGTATAAGGTTTCCCCACACTGTAATACATGTGTATATGTAAATCAGCATGCAATTCACATTTTATTCACAGCAGAATTGCATGGCCATCACACGCACACCAAGTTTCAATTAATGAGTGTTGAATTTCTTTAGTTGTGGCTCCATATGGATACGACTTGGCAATGACTGGATCTCCAGTCAGCACTAATTGCCAGGGATAATAAGCTGCATGATTTACGATTAATAATGCAGAAATGGTAATACTAAAACACTAACAGGTTAAGAAAATCTAAAATTGAGTGCAGACTTACCTAGAGTTGAAACCTCCCATAGGACAATACCATAGGACCAGCTATATTAAAAATATAAGTATTGATACAATGTTAGAAAAATTACATATTTTTTCCCCTGAGAAATAAGCTCTGTTTTAACTTTTTCATATGGTGACATTCTAATTCATGAATTTGTTCTTTCTTTGACCTTTGTACAGACTTAACTCTTTGGTACAACATTTTGCTCATTTTATTTATTTTTCCAAAAAAGTTTTTCTTTTCATTTTTGACTAAA